ACACATTAACCTCAAAACCTTTTCAGCTTTCTCTTTCTGCAAATTGTATGGTGTAGCGATATTACAGCACCCAAAATACTATCAAACACTCCAACGCAGCTCCATTCTTCGCGAAAGATGGATAAAAAGGCGCACAGGAAACAAAAACCTCGAAAAATTATATACGACCCGCCAAATGCTGGCCGAATCGCAGAGATGCCAATTCGCACAGGACTAATATTACCACAGGACCTCGGTGTTCGGCGAAATATGGTAGGTCATTTGCGGGGGAATTTTTACTTTACAAATGACAGACATGGCTGGTTCGCACGGGATTAAGATCACAGACAACCTCCGCAATTATTACAAATGACTGGAGGTCACCAGGTAATACTAATCCCGTGCGAATAGGGCTTAAGTCATGTGACCATGGTGTAATTCATTTATAGCCCATTTTATTTTTTTTTTGCTTCTTGCGTCTGCTGATTACATTTTGGCTTCAAAATTCATAAAAGTTGTTAATTTGTGAAGATTATCTTGATGAGCGAAAGATTTTGGTGGTCACAGAGCTTATTTTTATGCAGTTTTTCAAAACCCAGTGGAAACTACAAAAAATGTCATCATAGAACATCTTCCCTGCTGCACTCTGAACAATCTCTACCTGGGCGTGAGCCTGCTGCTCCAAGTATTCTTTGGCCGTGGTTCCTGCAAATGAGAAATAACATAAACGTAACTAAAACTGTTCCATTAATTAGCTTATTTTTGGTTCCGTTACTGATGTGACTGTAATTACTAATTTCTCTTTCATACTGTACTCACCATTCCAGTGTCCGGGTAAAGTAGGTTCAGTCTTGTCTTCCGTGGCTGCTGCCAAGTACTCATGGAGCTTCCCGATCAGCTCACCTAGCTTACTGCCTCCACCGGCCACCGGCCCGGGTCTGCAAAGACAAAACACAAATAATTTCCATGGCAAATGCCTCCTACTGTAATCCCTCAAGATGCATTAAAAACACTAAAAAGCCTTTTATAAACCTACAAAACCAAACTACATACAAAAGCATAGACGGTTCCTATAGAAAGAGGCACACTGAGGCTTCCGTCTGATAGGCTTACATTTATTATTAATCAAACAGGGTTCGTGAATCTTTTCCTGAGTTCAGCACCGGCTCTTTGTTTGGCTGGTAAGTTACTGATAAAGTAATAAACTGTCAAATCAAAACGCAAAACCTAACATTACTTCAGATACGAAAGATTACGCATGGATTTAATTCAAACAGCGACTCGTTTTAAAAGATTTATTGTCGATAAATATTAACAAACCTCACAGCTTGTAAGTTACGTTAGTGGTGGCAAAGAAAGAAAACAGGGCGCCTCACCTGAGGACTTCGGCAGACATCTCCTCCTCGCGCACAGCGCCTCAACACACCGCCGAGCTTTTAGCACAATCAACAGCCGCGACGTGTTTCGGTTATTGACATGAAACTCATATTTGGCAAACCGCAAAAACTCAACCAGTTTCACCCACCATCTTCCCAGTGGAACTTGCGCCAGACAGCTTAAAATGGCGCACCGGAAACTGTCCGTGACGGACGTAAAATTATGAGGTCATTACTTCATCGCATTTCGTCATAACTGAAGAGACGACTGCTGCTGGGAAACATGTCAGCTTTACTTGGTTAAGGCTATATCATATCAATATTAATGTTTGTCACGCTGAACAACAGTAATTGCTGTATTTGCATTATTGTAAGGTTAAAGTCCGCGCGTGAACCAGAATTTGGTGCCAAGCGCCGACTTTATTTCAGTGTGATGACGTATTTCCAACTGAACTGAATATTGAATAGAGGGGCGGGGTTTTATTTTTGCACTCCTCCTCTAATCCCTCACTCGCAGCCACTCGAAGCAAACTAATAACGGTTGGAGGGGCGTGGTTAAGCATATTCTGCCCAAGCCGTCAAACGTCATCCGTTCCAGAGCGGAAGCAAATGATCAGAGTTTGATTACCAAGACAAACTTGTTTTTTTCAGTGGATTAATTGTTCACTTTAAGACTAGCAATGTGCGCTAACAAAATAAATATTGTACATTTTGATTTCATGCGGACTTTAAGTTTAGAGTTGGGGTAGGTGTGTAGACATTATTAAAACACAATCTAATAGGTAGCAAATGTAATTTATTTGTACTTTCCGGCCTTAGCTGTATCCCTTTTATAGCCACAACCACTTTATTTGAGCACGGAGATGAGCAAGCTGCAAACAGTGTTTATATTCTTATCATAGTAATTATAAAGAATAATAATTTTGTTATTTTTTTCTGTATATATGTGTACATGCAGAAAGCGAATGAAAGTATGCAGCTGTATGGACCTTTTCACTGTGGACACCATATTTAATTTTTCACAAAAGAAAACATTTTGTTATTAATAAAAAATTCTCCATAAATAACTAACAATTTGAAATTTTTTTTTTAAACATTTCAAATAAAACATGCATACAATAAATATACAAGCATACAATAAATATACAAAAAGGGATGTAATAAAGTTTAAGTTAATCATGTAGGCCTAATGTTTATATGTAATACCCTACATATAACAGTTTGGAGAATGGATGGATCATTTTTTTTCAGCTTCATTTCAATTAAAATAATTTTTAATAGTTTTAGTTAACAATAACAACACTGGTGGTATATATTGACAGACTACAGTATCCCTCACAGCCTCATTTTCATTAAAGGAAAATTAAATATGGTATCTTCCTTTTAAAAAGTCCATTAAAGTCAATACTTGGAAAAACCAAGTCTAAAATCATTCTAAAAGCTGGAGGCTGTTGGAACGTGTTTGAAGAAGCAAATGTCTGTAAATTTGAATTTGTGTGCAGCTAAACACTTAATAATCCTGTGATATAGAGGCACACAATCTTTGTGATGCAGATGCACACATCTATGTAGTCGAGTTGGCTCGTGGTGTGTTACCATTACTCTCAAAGTCCATCTCTTGATCTGAAACAAGCCCAAGGCCTGTATGACACAGCTGTCTCTCAAGCCCCGTGATTCTTTGTTTCAGTCTGCTTTGAGTCGCTGTGAACTCCCCAAGCAACCGCGCAAATCGTGCTTGTAGAGCATCCAGTGAGCTCTCCAGACATTCAACCTTCTCGTCGGTATCCATGACGAGCAACCCTCCCTGTGCGGTGCTTTCATCCAGAAGCCCCTGCTTCCTCAGAATCTCCCTTCCACGCTCTTCAAGAACCTTCTGTGCATCTGGGTATTCAGTTACGGCCTCCATAAGGTCAGCCTTTGAAAGGCAGAAGAGGTCAGAGTAGCCGATGCTGCGAATGTTAGCCGCCCGGCGGTTTCCCATTTTTACTACCCTGAATGTTAAGAATGCTAATCTCGCCAAAGCAACCCCCAGCTGTTAGCAATGCAAACTGCGTCACTCCATCATCAGCAACAACTGCTAATTTTCCCTCTTTAATAATGTACATCTCTTTTCCAATGTCTCCTTTTCGGCAGATGTAGTCGCCAGGACTGTACACTTGGGGACGCAGTTTTAAAACCAGTTCTACTAACAGCCCAGCCTCACAATCTTGAAAGATGCGAACTTTCTTCAGAGTAGATAAATGAACATTGATAGCAATTTCTGCACGTAGCTTGTCAGGAAGATTCTTTAAGACTTCCTGTTCATCCATCGCTTTCTGATTCGTCCACAGGTAGTCGAACCATTTGATGACACGTGTCTCAAGTTGGCGACTGACTTTGCGGAAGTGCATGTTTAATAGCATCAATCCGTGCCTGGAACTCTGCCCGTGTGGCGTTCATATTGGAAATCATGGAACCCACATTACCCACAATGGTGGCAAAAATCAGGACTCCGACAAGAAAATCAAACACCACAAACACATATTCCTCATCCCGTACTGGTGGTGGCATCTCACCGATGGTGGTGAGTGTCAGTGTGGACCAGTAGAAGCAGTATATGTAGCTCCGCCTCAGAGCTCCTTCCTCTGTGGATGAGATGTTGGGATAAACCCACTGATCTGAACCAAAACCTAGAGACTTCGAGATGGCATAGTAGATGCAGGCATTCCAGTGGATAATAACCAGAATGTAGAGAACCAAGTTCCAGATGCGGAAGATGTTTGGGTAGTTGGTTCTCGTCTCCGTCCGATTAAAGAACTCAAAACATACGAGAGAAGCGCAGGAGGCGATTGAAGCGTAGCTGTGGTGTGTTGATGCCCATGATAATGTACACCAGGTCCGTGGGGAGGATGGAGATAACATCCAGTTTGAACTGAAAAGTGTGAATGTAGCAGTCTCTGAGTTTTGCAAGGTCCTTCAGCAGAAGTCCTTGCTCCAGGTAACCTGGGAGGGCATAAAATGCTTTATAAGAGGCAATTCATTCAATAACACAAAAACTGCAAAAATCCAAGATGCTGAAGGACCAAATGTTGTTTGAGTCAGTGTAAACAACTGACAATATGTTCAATAAATTATCATGTAATTTTATACCTGGACACTGCAAGACTTGTTTATTGTACAAAAATAAACAAAAATGTCCTTAGGATGAATCTTCATTTAATGCCAACTTTAAATAAACATGAATTAACCCAACAACATGTTAATTTTTTAACATGACTTTGCCTGAATACTTCGTAAATGCATATCAGAAACATATCAGTAGTGTGATTTCATGAAACAAACACTGAGCCAAATATTTTACTACTGTTAGCAACAATTAATTTGACTGGTGAACTTGTAGCAAAATACTGTTTTTGATTTGATGCACAGCCTTTGATGTCAACAAATGTAAAAAAAATAAAGTGTTTTCTATTATTTTTAACTATACACAATTAGTTATATAACAATAAATTGCAAGATGCAACTAATATGGTAAGCTGCATTTTATTTGTATTCAGCATTGATTTTTCCTTGCTGTCCACAAACCATTCCTGTAGCTGGTATTGTTATGGGTTCACTTCCCAGTGAATGCATTAAAGGGTTAGTTCACCCAAAAATGAAAATTAGCCCATAAATTACTCATCCTCAAGTAGGGCTGGGCGATATAGCTAAAAAATGTATTAACAATATAATGTGTCATATCGTTCGGTATTGATAATTATTGACATTTTTATAATATTTTTTTTAAAACAAAGCAATAGAACAAAATGTTTAAATTTAACCATTGTATTTTTAAATTAACCCGATTTATTGAGACAAACAACAAATATTTTCGGATGACGTATGAGTTCAGCGTTGCGCATGTGCCGCTCAGAAGTGACAAAGACGGAAACGCAGCAGAGAGATCAAAACAAAACAACGGTCACTAATTCGAAGTGCAAAATGAGGATTTGTAAAGAAGAATGTCAGAGGATTTCGATATAAGCCAAGAGGAGACTGGTTTTCCTTTGCTAAAGTAAGGAAACTTTGTTTCTTGCATTGCTTCAGTCCAAAAGAACTTGAATAAAAATCAAGTGCATTTTTGTAAGAAAAATATCCATATTCAAAACATAATAATCACTTGAATCTAGCTTGCGCTCACTGTTGTAAAATGTATAAATGCAATTTATTACATTTTCTGCCAAATGCAATGCAATACAAGATTTTGCAATGACAATATTAAACATGATTCTGTAAATAAGGTTTCTGTAATGAGTGAAGGCACTAAATTAATCTAATTATTGGGATGATATGTGGTATAAATCAGGCATTTTGAGTATGTGTACATATATATATATATATACCCATCCTTAGCCGCATACATGAATCCAGTATGTAGACAGCGTCACACAAATAGTCAAACACCAGCCAGACAATAAGATTCTCAGTCTGCATCTGATCAAAACAGGCTCTATACACACAGAGGAAGAAAGAGAAAGAACATGAGAACCATAACTACTGTATATAGATAACCAGAACATACACACATCTGTACAGTTAGTCAAGCAGGGGTCTCAGAGGGCTGTTCTGTTTGTGTAAAACTGACAGGCATAACGAAAGTGCCTTGCAACGCTGTAGCAATTAGTCATGCAAGAAAACAAACACGCCAACACAGGGGACTGTGGTCTCTTAATGGTTTATTAGGTGCAAATTAACAAAGGGTAATGATGAATATGAAAAGGAGAAAGACTAGGTGAAAAGTCGCACCTTGCCACAAGCAGTACCCAGTTATAAAGCACAGCAGCGGCAATGAACAACAGCCAGTAGTAGTAAATATCATCGGAGGGAGAAACTATAAATGTCTCCCATTGCTTCCTGTGAAACAACACAAATTTGTAAAATAATTAACTTCAACAGATTTATTCTGTCTATATGCACATTAGTTGATTTTCATGTCCATTTGTCATTTCATTTTTGAAAGACAAATTCATAAAGTGTATCTGTGTCACAACTCTAATATTACTTTGTGTTTCCCTTAGTGTTTCCATTGGCATCCGGTTGGTTGTTGCTCCTTCGACTGGGTGGAGCTGGTACTTCGGGTCTCCGGAATCTCTCCAGGAAGGAATCGGGTCTCTCCTCCTCCTCTATAAGACTCCTGTGTGCCCAGTCTCTCAGAGTCACCACCAGACTCAACAACCTGGCAACA